ATTGTATGACCATACTTTCTTCTGTTAATATACTTGCTTTTGTATTACATACAAATCCACACACAGCGTCGGAAACGTCGGAAGTCGGATAAATTTTGGTATGGTTTATACAACGACCAGCGCACGCCGTTGCACATGTATACACATTTGGCGTTATTGAATCTCCAGTCAGGTATCACACACTTTACAGTTATTTTCATGTTTTTGAAGCACGACATTTTATACTTTTATAAGTACTATGAGATCCTACCACATAGCATGAGGTGGGATCTCGCGATAGGCAGCCGTACTCAATACGTTTGTAGATGTACAATAGACAACGCTTGCGTTGGTGTCGGTCCTTTTAGGCGTTACATGTGCTCTCCAATCAGGTACCGGTATGCACACACTTTACAGTCGTTTACATTTTGTTGAAGCACGATTTTTTTTACACTTTTATAAGTAGTATGAGACTCACACTCTCCTCTCCCTGATCACTGCAAAGGCGAGGGCCTCACCATTGCAGTGACCAGCTATATAATAGTTGAATATTGTCAAAAGGATTTGAATTCGAGAGATAACTTTAGTGATGTGTTATCGCTCTTCCTTCCGTAGGCTACATGCAGATTTCATTTTGTAACTTGCAAGCTTAATTAAACACGGACCCCACTCAAGACAAACCATGCGCGTGTTCCACATCGTCCTTATCGCCATCGCAACTGTCCAGCTTAACGCTATTCAGGGTATCGCAGGCAAGGTCTCGACATTTACGTTTACGGAACGCTCCCGCTTGCTAACTGCAGAGCAGAGCGACAACACTGACAAGCGATTTCTGAGGAAGCGTCAACCGGAGAATGAAGAGAACTCAGTGGACGAGGAAGCGGAAGAAAGGGCACAGTGGATTGACGCTTTGAAGAAACTGAGGAGTGACGCTACAAAAAGAGCGAAGCTAGAAGTGTGGTTTCAAAAAGGAAAGAATCCTACATTTGTTCGCCAGCAGTTCAAAATCCCCGAGGCGGGCGAGGCGATGACATCCCACAAGAACTACAAATACCTCCAGATTTTCATCAAGAAGTACAATGGCTGGAAATACCACCGCTTCAGTGGTCAGAGAGACTAGGAACTTCCCAAGCAACAAGTAAATATCATTGAGTTTTGTAGCGAAAATAATGTAAGATCCGTCAGCGTTATTTGTGGAAGTCCGATAAACCCTACCTTCCTTCTTGAAACTTCTTGCTCCATATTATTGTCGGATTCAACACAACAATGCAACGCCCACGCTCGGAAGGAAGGCGATCCAACTCGAACTCCCAGAATCAATCATCACTTGTAGCACGTTCGCTTCAATTTGGGGCTAACGCGCAAGACAGCCAGCCACGTCGGCCTAACACTACTCCGGTACAGATGCTTAACTGTTCAGTTTAGCTTTAAATTTACTCATGCTAACGTTGCTTTACTCTGGGCTTACAGAAGCCGCGCATCCAGCGACTCCTGCCCAGTCCTGGTCACAATGGGGCTCAAGAGCGAAGTGCTTCGAGGCAATCGATGGCACAACCTCCATCGACACTGACTCGCTTACCCGACTCACCGCCACGTTTGAGCCCCATCGAGGATACAGATACATCGACAGAGGATAGTCTTCCTCGGAGCAGCGACGTCATTAGCGCTTCCTCAACTGTAGGAGCAACTATAAGCCACGAGGGAGTAGATGCAGACGCCCCTCACAGTCTAAGAGATAACCTTGACACCCTTGAAGATGGCGACAATCTTTCGAGCACAAACAATGCTAGCGCCTCGAACTCAGCAGAGCTGGAACGGGAACAAAGTAGCGACGCAAAAAAACACGATCCAGAGGAGATTGAGGATGAATCCTCTGACGTAGCTGGGCCTCTTTTGATCAATATTGAAGCAAATCTGGACGACGACGATGACGCATACAAACACGCCTTGGCAAACAGAAAGCAATTGCTGAGCGACGAGGCAAACCGACAACGTATTCGCAAAGAACTCGAGTCGTATGTGAGTTCACTCTGTTCGCTTACAGACGAAGATGGCGAGCACCTGGTTGAATACCCAAAGAATTACCAGCAAATTGTGTCTCTTATGACCCAAAAAGATGTCAGCGAGGAAGAATCAACGTCCCAGGAGGGGAAACACACACGGCAGAGCTGGTCACGCGTCCTCATCGAAGCAGGCTTGTCCAAACAGCAAGCATTTGTAAGTGTTTTAAATTTTGAAGAAATTGCGCCATTTCTTACCGTAATACATTCCAGGGAATCATTGAAGACGTAGACCCAGAAGGGAAGAGCAGCTTAGCAGCCAAGATTGCGCTTAAGATGGCCCGCATTCGTCAGTTGGACACTATTCTGGAGGAGAAATTGGGTAATAACCTTTACTCAAATGTCGTACCTAGGAAGCAGAAGAAGGCGAAATCTCCATCGCAATCCAAAGATACTGCCAGCAGTTCGTCAAACCGAACATTTGTGACCCAGACACAGAGTATTCAGCCAAGCACTGTGTCCAATGGAGGTGAAACTAGTCGCAGTAGCACTAGCAACAAACACTCAAACGACGATGAAGTCTCAACTGGAGCCAAGAAAAGCCACAATTTCATTGAACGTAACAAGCAGGTGGTGGCCAACGGCATGAAGGCCAACATGACGAAAGAAGAAGAGGAGAGACTGGAGAAACTGCTGCGTGACGAGACAATTGACTCTCCTAATGAAGATAACGGCAGACCAGAAGTTACTACGCCACCTCAGCAATGCAACGAGTTCACAATGACTGAGGAGGAAAAGAAAGCAATCGAAGAGCTCATTGCGACTAATAGCAGTGCGTATCCACTAATTGGTATCGATGAGTTACAAGAAGGACCAGTGGATGAAGCTTTACGGTCAACTGGAGGCACTAGTCACCCTGTTAAAGAGAATATCATTCAAGAGACGAAGCGAGAGCGACTGCAGAGACAGCGACTCAGTCGAGTGGAACAGGAGCTCCGTTTACTCCATGAATGTCCGTCGGTTGTTATCGTAGGAGACGATCGCGACGAAGACGAACACGCCGACTGCCGCAGCGAAATTTCGTTCGCTACAGTCGCATCGTCGACATGTTCCACTCGCTCCGGTATCATTTCACGACACGATTTCAAGTGCTTCCTGGCTCAGCAAAAAGAAAATTATCGCTCTACCCCCACTGCAAGTGCCGATGATATCCGGCAGCTTCTTTTATCCATTAACACTGGGACTTCTGTGCCTTCCAACACTGTCACCGCAACAACAGTCTAACCAGGAGCCCACATAGTGTCTAGCTCACCAGCAGTGCATACAATTCAAGTTCATTCTTTAATGTCGTCATTAAAGAGCTTCATCCATCGTTCGCCTATGGGTTGTAGCTCCACGTGACGGATCTCGGGGTCCTCTTCATCGTACGAGATCCTCACGTTCAGTCTCTCAGTCGGGATACTCTTCTCGTCGAAGCGCTCGGGCCACTCCACTAGTGTGACACCTCGTTCAAAGGCCTCAGCTAGTCCCAGAGCCACTGCGTCTTGTTCCGTTACAGCGTCCAAGCGGTAGAGATCAACATGGTAGACAGTGGGTAGCTCTGCAACCTCGTCGTATGTGTTCACCAGCAGATATGTGGGCGACGTTACAGCTAGGTCTTTCTGCCCTGTATACGACTGAATGAACCCACGGGCTAGACAAGTTTTACCGCAGCCCAAGTCTCCGTGCAGGAAGAGCACGTCGCCTACCTGTCGATCTCGAGCCAGCCATTCACCTAATTCCTCCATATCTCGCTGGGATTTGGTCGTATGGACGCGAGACAGCCACACATCGGAAGTGGGTGAGCTGTTCTTGCTAGCTGATGTGGAAAATGCACCAAACGAAACACAACGGCGAGTGTATTGGCGACGCAGCAGCACCGACGACAGTCGTCCCAGCATCATGAAAGTGTAGCCAAATGTTGAGGCTGTCGTAGTTTCATGTGGCTGACACGAGATAGTGTGGCGTCCATTGTGTTGCATCAGAAGATAATTTAGCCAATTGGAATCTGGATCGTGACTAGAAGGTTGAGGCAAAGATGTCGGGCTGGGTGAGCGCGTGGCTGCAAGGCAAGAGCGAGGGCGACGAAGAGAGCAAGGAGGAGGGATTCCAGACGGGTGGCAACACGCTCTCGGACGGATCCGCACCTGCGACAGCCGACGAGATCCGCCGCAAGCGGCTGCAGAAGCTGCAGGAGCAGCAACAAGCTGCTCAAGAAACAGTTTCTGCCAATCAAAACACAGCAAGCCCGAAAGATGACGTCATTATGTCCAATCCGGATGCTTCATCTCCTCAGGTAGACAAGAAGCAGCGTGTCGAGGCTGTAACGCCCGCCCCAGCACCCGTAGCACCACTAAAGGAACCTAAAAAGCCCAAGAAGCAAGGACTAACCCCCGACGTTTACATCAACGACATGTTACAGCGTGTTCTACACGTAACTCTGTCTCCAGCCAATAGCAGTGCTGAACTATTGCTACTACCGCAGTTCTCAGCTCCAGACGAAGCCCAGGACACCCTATTATCACCTGCCAATGCCAGTGAAGTTCTCTACTCTCGAGTCATCATGAACCCCACCGATCTTCCAGGAGGAGCTCAACATCCATTGGCTGCTGTGGCCTATCTGGAGCAGGTTTTTTATCGCTGTCGGGACGAGACTCAGAAGCTGCAATCCTCATTTCTAAGACTCCCAGCAGACAAGAAGCAGGAGGCACAGGAGTGTCTGGACAGCATCCGGGAGATGTGTATTAACTACAGTGCCACCGCGTTGACAGACCCAGAGATCTTCCCGTTCGAAGCAGGGACGATTAATACCGATGCATTGGAGAAAATTGTGAGATTGCAGGCCAATGCTCAGACACCGGAGTTTGTGGACGGTATTGTGACGATATTGGAAGAAAATGGCGCGACATTGACGATTTTTGGGCCGATTTTCCAGAAATTACTGTCCGAACTGTTCCTGATCAACCCGCCGTCGCTCATGTCGAATTTCTACAACAACATGTACATTTTGACTGTGCTTTGTCGTAACAAAGCCTTGGCTACGGCGTTCACTCAGATTCCAGGGTTCTTGTTGACTCCAGGTGCGCCGATGACCGGTCGTCGGCTTCAGGATGCCACTGCATTGGGGATTCTGCTACGTTTTAGCTGTAATCAGGACCCCGTGATCACTCAAATGTTCACGAACATCACGAAACGCACCAAGAACGACGTGGAGAACTCGATTCTGACCATTCGGAACAAGCTGGACAGTGTGCAGACCGCCGTGTCGGATATTTTCACGTTGTTATTGAAGGCTGGAGGCTCTGCTCGTGAACAGGTGTTGGCATGGCTGGAGCAGGCGATGCAGTTGAATGCTGAGCGTGCTAAGGAGAACCCGGACGTGAACATCACGGCTACAAACGGTATGTTTGTGAACCTGACGATGGTTTTACTGAAGCTGTGTGGTCCATTCCTAGTTCCGAACTCGAAGAAAGCTCAGCTGATTAAGTCGGACTACTTGACGACGCAGAACCCGTTATTCCCTTTCGACGAGACTAGGCTGGTAGGCTCTGGTGCGTCTCAGCAGGACGATCGACAGACGTTGAGCTCTTCCGACTTCAACTTCATCACGCGTTGCTATTTCATCACAGCTCGGGCGATGCACCTTGGACCTGTAGGCATGATGGGCCAGTATATGCGTCTGCTTCGCCAACTCTCGTACTTCCAGAGTCGAATGAATGCACCGAACGCAGATCCTCGTCTGAAGGCTCATTTCGACCAGATGGCCGCAGCAAAGATGATTATGGACGCTGAGCTGCTACACCCGGACTTCTTGCACGAAATGATCCGCTTCTCGCTGCTCACGTGTGCTGTTGTTAACTCCATTTGTACTGGATGTATTGTATTCGACCAGAGCTCTCTCGAGTTACCATTATCTGCACCTGATTCGAAGACAAACGCTGTCCTCAAGTACATTCCAGAGCATTTGGTCGATGACTTGAGCTCTGTCCTAAAATTTATCGCGCGACTGCAACCCAAGGCGTTGAATGCGTTCGAGTTGAAGGAGCTATTGAGGATGATTCTCATCTTCCTGTCCAGTCCGGGATACGTACACAGTCCTCACTTACGAGCCAAGATGAGCGAAGTTCTCTTCCACATCTTCTTGCCGTCAGAGGAGTCAGAAGAGCGCGAAACTGCAGGAACTGCCTTCGGAGTGGAGCTTTTAAGAACGGACTCACTAGCACAGAGGCACCTTGCTCCGTGTCTATTGGCATTGTACGGAGATGTGGAACACACTGGCTTCTATGAGAAGCTAGAGCATCGCTACAACATTGCGTGTCTGCTCAAGTATCTGTGGAAGTTGGATGGCCATAAACCAGCGTTCCTGCGTATCTCTGAAGACCGAGAGAACTTTGTCAAGTTCGCCCATGGACTGATGAACCACATTAACAGTCTGGTTACCGATGCGCTTATTGCGTTGCCGGAGATTAAGGTGCTGCAAGAAGAGATGCAGGATGTTGCCAGGTGGATGGCGCTGGATGAAGCTGTGCGTGAACAGAAGCAGAGTTTGCTGTCTGACAAAGAGCGCACCGTCACGTCCAGTCTGCAATTGGCCAACGAGACAATCCACATGATGTCGTACTTGACGTCGGAGATCCAGGAGCCTTTCGTTAAGATGCCGGAGCTTGAAGACCGTCTGGTTTCTATGTTGAACAGCGTGATTGTCAAGCTGGCGGGACCTCGTGGTGTGGAGCTGAAGGTGAACAATCCGGAACAGTACAAGTTCCGCCCCAAAGTTATGCTCAAGGAGATTGTGGAGACTTTGCTGCACTTCGCCCACTACCCGAGCTTCCTGGAGGCTGTGGCCACCAATGGATTCTATGACGGCCCAGTATTCCGCAAATGTGCCCATATTGTGGCCCGTACTCAGTTGTTAGAACCAGGTGACGTCCAGAAGTTTGAGACGTTTGTTGTGGAGGTTGAGAAGGCTGCGGAGGGCGCTGCTAATCTGGAAGAAACTCTGGGAGATATCCCTGAAGAATTCCTGGACCCGTTGGTGTTCACGTTGATGAAAGACCCGGTGTTGCTACCCAGTGGGTACACGATGGACCGTTCGTGTATTACACAGCACTTGATGAATGACCAGAGCGACCCGTTCACTCGCGTCCCTCTGACTATGGATCAATTGCAGCCGAATACGGATCTCAAGACGAAGATTGAGCTGTGGATTCAAAAGCAGCAGCAGAAACAGGCCGCAAAGTAGAGCCAAGTTAGTACGACAAGTGCTGTCTCGAATGTGCCAATAACACCCATTAGCTTTTTGATCCTAAGGCATTTGCGTAAAAGTGTTAGCTACAGTACGAGAAATGACGTCAGCATTCCCTCTTTTACCAGAAAAAAACATGAGAATTTAATACTTCTACTACTTAACATTTTGCAATGTTTCTAAGTATTTTCTGTACAAGTGTCGAGATCAACGATAACTTTGTACGCTGCTTCGCTGACGATTGGGTTGCTGTAGTATCATGAGGATAAACCTCTTACTATTAAATAGTGAAAATTATTCGACAAATATCGTTTTTTTTCAAACTGAAAAGTAAGCCGTTAAAAGGAAATACTTTGCGGCCAACACTTAACATCGTGCGAGAGGGCTTCACTTGGACATGATCAGAAAGTACGGAATTCTCTTGCTATGGTTTATCTACTTGGAGATCTCAAAAACATTTTCTTCGGTAGTGATCCCCGCGGAAATCTCTCGAGAAACAGCATTTATTCCCGAAATGTCATAACCTGATGGTGATGATAATTGGCTTCAATTTGACTTTTACGTGCCCCCCCCCCTCCCCCCTACAGAAGCCTTGTAATATGCAATACGTGACTTGATGTCGTTACTTAACACTTGCGGCTGGTTGGGCGGCGCATTCTGTTGTTTGTACTCATGAAGAGGACCATGTTGGAGGACCTTGCCCAAGCGAAGGTCGTATTTGCTGGAGCTCTGGTTTTTTTTTTCTTTCAGAAGCCAGACAACCTCTGTATTCCGTTTGGTTGGTGATGTCCAATGTACTACAGAGAAACTTCGTAGCATCTTGTCTAGGTCCGTTGTATCCTGCGCATGAACACTTTGTGCTTGTGCTTCATCCTGTTTGAACCGATGCATATTGTGATAGCGTGGAAGGGGTTTATCCGTACTTTCAATCCTCAGATATGTCCGCGCGGGGTACACCTGGTTCTCAAGCGCATCTAAACCATCCATGAGTGCATTGACAGCATTTCCCTTTCAAGTGCCTTGAGTTGAGAATCTGATACTGCCAGCCAAGAAAGACTCCATTACATTGGAGTCCTCTTCTTCTGTCACTATAAGCCATCCTTCATTGACCCATTCGTCTGGGTCAGTAGTAAAATGTAAATGTCATAACCTACGTACGTAAGTGTAATGTTAATGTGCTGGCATATTTGTGTTGCCTCTTTGTGTTGATATAGAATTTGGACCGCACAACGACATAATATGTCTTATTCAAAGTACTCTGTCACGCTGCATTAAAACGCTTTAATGACGACAATTCAACCAAGCTCAGGAGTACCACAATCACTAAAATATTTCAGAAGTCATGAGCAAATTTGGTACCTTCCTCTTCCAGACGTCCAAGAGAACCTAAACTGTCTTCATCAAAGCTTCTCCAAAACTTTTTAACTTGGGATCCTTCTCCATCGCTTTGAAAAGCACAGGTAACTAACTGGCTCTTCGGTATGAACTTGGACAAAGCTTCGACAACATACTATAACAGGTTAGTGTGGCACGATGTGGATACGACGGTTGCTGGTGAGATCTTCCAGCAAGACCGGTGGATGAACGGCTCCGGTGAAGAGTCGAATGAACCCAACAAACGTGCGATGGACGTGCAGGATCGTGCACAACGGAATCGTGAAGAGTCGCAGGCGGAAAAGGCACGCGATCGTAAGGAGGAGTGAGAAGCACTCACTCTGAAATCGGACGGGCAGAACACAAGTGAGTGAGGCAGACGCACGAGGTGTGTTGTCCTTGCTTGTGGCACCCGATAGAGGAGTGAGCACGTAAGTAAGTGACGAACGAAGAACTGAGAACGAAGAACGAAGGCGGACGGAGTCGACAGAGAAGCGACCCCCGGCAGAACTACACGTTTACGAAGAAAACTGACGGAGGGCCGAAGTAGCGACATTGAGGGTCGTTGCCAAGGTTAAGTACGCGGATCTGGACATTACGGACGCATCCGACGAACTGTAGTGGACGCACTACGGAACAGAGGAACACGACGAACGAAGAACGAAGTACAAAGACGAACTCTTCTTTAGTTGGCGTTAGGCTAGCTAAGAGAAGAGACTAATAAATAAAAAGTAGGGACGGCGACGTTCCGGCACAGGGATCAGCTTGAAACCTGTTGGCCAGCAGTGTGTTGAAGTTCAGTAACCCGACGAACCCAGGACACTCGCAGGAAGCACACACGCGAGTACGATCTGCTCCACGAACCGAGCAAGATAAGTGGATTCGTTACATGGTGGTCATACAGGGGCCCTATTGAAAGAAACGACGAGGCCTACCAAAAGAAACACAAGCCCTATTGAAAGAAACGACGAGGCCTACCAAAAGAAATACAAGCCCTATTGAAAGAAACACAGGGGCCTTCTTGAAAGAAACGACGAGGCCAACTAAAAGAAACTATTGAAGGAAACGAAGATTTGATTGGAGATGGTTACGAGTACAACGACGACAACTACGATGAGTAAGAGAGCGCAGAAGGCTCGACGGATACGGAAGCCAGGTGACGAAGATTCGCCAAGTAGCACAGATTCGGACACCGGACGTCCTGTGACACGGAGCCAAGAAGGACGAGCGGTAAGGAGGCCCATTCTGAGATCACGTGCGGTAAGAGTGACCCGACGACAGGGGGGTGACGCACCAGAAACAAAAGAGACGACCGACCACCAGGACCAGGAGGTCTCGCTACACCCACCAGTGGGAAATCACGATGACGAAGATAAGAAGAGCAAACACGACGAGATATCACACGTGGAAGCGGAGGACGTTAAGACGATGGCATCGACGCTGCAGCAACTCAAAGAGACGGTGGCCGAGTTGAAGGCGACTGCTGGCAGTGGACGTGACGGTGAACGCCGACGATCAGCTGAAGGGAAACGCCGACGAGGTGTTCCACGGGTACCACGGGTGCGAGAGGATGATCAAGCCGGGAGCAATGCCGGTGGAGCACTAGCTAGTGAAGGAAGTCCACGCTCTAGTGTAAGGGCTGCTGGTGCAACCGATAACGAAGGAGTGGCGAACAACGGTGGAGAGATGGAGGCTATGGCCACGGCCATAAAAGACTTAGCAACGATGGTAGCAAGGTTGCAGCCGGAACCACAACGACCATCACGGCGGAGGCGTCCACATGACGGGTCATCTTCGAGAGAAAGCAGCAGCTCCAGTGGTGCTTCGGACGATGGCGGTGACGACAGTCCAAGCGAGAGCAGCAACGAGGACAGTGACGACGACGCGGAGTCCGACGATGATGCGAACGATGGACCCGACAGCAGTGACAACGACTCCAGCGACAGCCAGGACCCGAGCAGTAGCAGCAGCGACTCCGGTAGTGAATCAGAAAGGCATCGAGGTCGACGACGGCGACGAGGTCAACGACGACGACGCGGCCATCATGAACGACACGTACAACGAGAACGACATGAACGAAGAAAACAAAGCCGAAAGAGAAGCGTTAAAGACTTGGAATTACCGACTTACACTCCATCTCCTAAAGTTTCGGTCTCGACCTGGATCGATCGCGTAGACTTGGCATTGAAAGGCGCAGCGGAATCGGGACGTGGCAAGTGGTCTGACCACGCCCTGTATTTCATTTTAGGTAATAAGCTCATGGATAATGCGGCGCGTTGGTGGGTTAATATGAACAGGAGATTACCCAAGCGTGATCGTACGTGGACCAATTTGAAGAAGGCGCTGTTACGTAGATATGGAGAAAAGTTGGATAAATCCGCTGCCGAGTGGAGGGTCAATATGCGTCGTATGATGCCTGGAGAGACTTATGCTGACTTTGCAGCAGCGCTTCGTGACGTAGTGGGAAGGAACAAGGTTAGTGAACGCGTGTTGTTAGCACAGTTCTGTAGAAGCCTTGACAAGACGACGAAGAAACTAGTCAAGCAACGACCCAAGCCAAGGACTCTAGAAGAAGCCGTCGATAAGGCAAATGAAATTGATGATCCTATGGATAATGTTGCTCTAGGGATGATGAATATTGGACAACCGTGGGCGACGGCGCCAAGCCCGTACTTAGTTCCTGTGGATGGTACGACGGGTCAAACACTTGTGATTCCGGGGATTGGTGGAACCGGGCTATCAACGGAGCTGATGGCAGCAGGTTTGAACGGTACGACGACGACGGATGGTGATGGTGGAGTGGTAGCACTTTTCACTAACCCTCGTGGAGTTTGGAATAAGTACTCGGGTACGTGGGATGTACCATCAGGACGCGTTTGGAACGGACAATTCTGGTATGAACCCAAGAAGAACGCCAGGAAGCGCTCTCCCGAGGACCAGCAATTGCGCAAACCGAAGGACGCGAAGAAGCCGGCCAGGACGTTCAAGACGAGAATCGAGCCAACTCCATCTAGCAGTGACGAATCGGATGTGCGACCACCGAAGAAGAGAACGAAGGCAGCTGTGCGGCAGACGACGGAACCACGTGCGGAGTCACGCACTGAACAACGGATGAATAGTGGGCAGTCGACACGAAGGCCAGCAGTACAGGTGTCGTCAGGTCATCCGGGGTGTCGACGATGTGGGCAGCTGGGACACTGGATGGCGCAGTGTCCGAACGGTCCGAAGTGTTATGCTTGCAATCAGTTAGGTCATTTCGCCAAGGACTGCACCGACGAAGACGCGAAGGCCAGGAACCAAGAATACCTGAAGAAGCGTCAAGAGGACAAGAAGACGCCGGAAAACGGGAAGCCGACGCAGTAAGGGGACTACGGCGCTCGGATAAACAGGATCCCCACAAGGAGAGAGGCAGAACAACGATGGGTGGTACACGCCAAGAGCACGAGTCGACAAGTGGCGAACAACCAACAGGACGACGCCAAGGCGGTGTGAGAATACAAGAAAGAGACGACGATGATAACGCGGAGGTGGAGATTGATAACAATGACGGAGTGTCGAATGTGACGCTAACGACTTACGATGAAGAATTGGAAGAGTTGTGGTCGAAGATGATGATCGAATCGAGCGACCAGGACGATGAACGAGCTGCACGATACGTGGCTACTGTACGACCGGCGATGGTGACGACGCGGTATGTACACAGTGGCAGCGTGGTGATGCAAGACGACGTGAAAGACGATTCGGCCGACGTAGTAGAGCCAAGTGGCGAGAATAATGGTCGGTCTGAAGAAGGCACCAACCCATGCCTAAGAGAAGTGTTGGAGCGTACGGAGGACACGCAGGACAGTGTGGTGACGGAGGTTACGGGCGTACTAACGGACGAGCGTGACAACGGTGTGAACCAGAACATCGCCCAGATTCGACAGGCACGAAGACTGGTGCGGAACCAGAAGAAACGCGAGCGGGTCAAGCGCGCGATAGCTCGACGACGCAGTGCCGTTCAAGCAGACGAGGATCAACAAATTGCAGAAGAAGAACAGCGACGTGAACGTCAAGGACATGCTGATGAAGCCGTACGACGTCTAGAAGTACGCCGGTGCCAACAGCGAGGTGAGAAACAGAGAACGGGCGATGAACTCGCGAGAGTCCGTCTAGTACAACATCACACACGACGAGAAGGGGGTGAAGAACACGACGAAGAGCCACAATACGAAGTTGAAGCTGACGACGGGTTGCCAACGGCACGAATGACGGTGGATGGCGTCACGAAGATGGTGAAGTTAGACAGTGGGGCCAGGTACACTGTTGCTGGCACGGGCTGGATGAATTACGGAGAACTAGTGTCGTACGATGCACCCGTAGACTACGTTGAAGGTATTGGCGGTATCTTACTAGATGTACTGGGAGTATGGCGATTTGAAATGAAGACGGTTTTTGGAGACGTCATAAAGATGGATGCGTGTATTGTTAAGGGGTGTTTGGAGGAATTTCTAATTGGTGTCGACTTCCTCAAAGCACGTGGAGCAACAATGGACTTCCGCACTAACGAACTGAAGTACAGTGAAGCAGAACGAACAGTAGTGATACCATTTCGAACCAGTGGAGCAACGAGTACTGTGAGGGTAGCTGCGATACGTATGGTAACCAAAACATACCTGGGACGTCGTACAGTAACACCAATTGAGATCGCCGTGGCGGCAGGTGATGGAGAACGTGGCGTATTCATAACTACTGTGCAACTGGGCTCCGTAATGTTAGCTACAACTGTAACGAAGGTCAAGAACGGAAAGGCCTGGGTACCAGCGATCAATGCTAGCGACGGACGAGTGAAGTTACCATCACGAAAGGAGTTGGGGACGTGGATTCCACTTGACGACGATGTCGAGGTCTTGGAAATGCACGGAGTGTTAGGACGGGAACAACTAAGTGATTGGCTACGAGGACTTGGCGATAGTGAAACACCGTTGGAAAATGAGAATGAAGTTCAAATTGGACTGGAAGACGAGGGTGGGAGAGAACTGATAAGACGGCTACTACGCGTATATCGGAAACAGGTGGAAGACACGGGCGATTGTCCGCCTGCAACTGCATTAAACGTAGAACATCACATTGATACCGGTGACGCGGCACCGATAATGCTCAAACGACGACGCCAAGCGCAGATGGAAGACGAAGTGGTAGAGTCGAACGTGCGTAAGATGCTTGGAGCTGGAGTGATCGAAGAAGGAAATGGCGCTTGGGGGTTTCCGGTAGTATTGGTTAAAAAGAAAGATGGAGAAATACGATTTTGCGTTGATTATCGTGCATTAAATAAGATCACACGCAAGGACGTCTACCCTCTACCACGAATTGATGAGACGCTTGAAGCTTTGGGAGGCGCACTTCTGTTCACCACCCTTGATCTACGTTCCGGATACTGGCAAATTCGTGTAGCAACCAAGGACAAGGAGAAAACGGCTTTCACGACGAAACGCGGGTTGTACCAATTCGTCCGTATGCCGTTTGGACTCACAAATGCACCGTCAACATTCCAACGAATGATGAACACCGTTTTACGTGGATTAACTTGGATCACATGTCTAGTGTATTTGGATGATATAGTGATTTACACCCGAGGAGGAATAGAACGGCACGTTTTAGAGCTAGCTTGTGTTATGGAGCGTTTGGCTACCGCGGGTCTTACTCTTAAGTTGAAAAAGTGTAGATTTGCAACGACGAGTATGGAGTATCTCGGCCACGAGTTAAGTTCTGAAGGAGTTCGTCCATTGGACAGATTAGTGAACGCAGTACGCAATTTTCCACGACCGACAGATGCAACAGAAGTTAAACGATTCGTACACTTAGCGGGCTATTATCGAAGATTTGTGGAAGGTTTTGGAGCACTTATGGCACCTATGACTAAACTACTTAGGAAGAATGCGGATTGGGAATGGTCCGAAGCTCAGGAAGCTGCGTTCGAACACGTGAAAGAGATTTTGACGAGAAAACCACTGTTGGTGTATCCTGACTTTCGAATTCCATTTCGAGTGGTTACAGATGCTAGTACGGTTGGGCTTGGTGCTGTTCTGATGCAATATCAAGGCAGAGGATGGCAGCCAGTCGCTTTTGCAAGTAAGGTGAACAACGATACGGAAGCAAAGTATGGGATCACGGAGCTAGAGTGTCTCGCAGTTGTTTGGTCAATTAAGCTCTTCCGACCTTATTTATATGGTCGCAAATTCACTATTATTACTGATCATGCTGCGTTGAAATGGCTAATGACGAGTAGTAACTTAACGGGCAAGTTGCATCGATGGGCGCTTACACTTCAAGAGTACGATTTCGATGTTCAGTATCGCCCTGGTAGCAACAATGTCGTCGCAGATGCCTTGAGTCGAGCACCTGTGAAAACATTAGCAGCCATTGGACGACGGAGACGTAGACGACGAACCACAGCCGACGAGACAACTGGTAGTAATACATACGACGTGAGCCCGACGCCAGAGGAACCTCCCCAGACGATTCGGAGTGAGCCACGTGGTGAACTCAATGCCAACGCGCGGGAGAACATACAACCAGAGGGACGAGTCCCAGCACGACGCCAAGGAGTAGACGATGAAGAACCTCGGGGTGACGCAGCAGTAGCGGTACGTGCCGTACCACCAGACGACGAGGAAGTGGCACTGAGAACTGAAGAAGGCGAGCGCACCAGCACAGTTGAAGAAACGGTACCAACGACGACGACCAAGGACACGACGACAGAGGACGGCGGTGAAGTAACGGCGGGATCCAAGACGACGGCTAACACCAAGGACGACGCCGAGAACGACGCCACCAACGACGCTAAAGAGGTCGAATCCACGCAAGATGAGAAGAACGCATCTACCAGTGACGCTCACACCCGACGACGACGTAGATCACCAAGGACGAATGAAGCAACGCGACCGATGACGAGAGCAACTAAGCGACGCCTGGAAAACGCGACCAAAACGATGAACGACGCTGTAAGAACGAGCACGGGAATGCACGAGCCCGAATTAGCGCAAGAACAAGTACTAAGTAGTATTACGACACCAACACCGACAAAACTACACGACACCATGCGGTCAACAACACGTGAGCTGGAACAAGGACCATCAGCCCCTCAGCACAGCAAACAACGCTTAAAGACGAGAGAGAATGACGCCCAAGAACGAGTGAACCACAGAAAGAAACCGCAACGAGTGACGTGGGCAATGGACAAACGTACGACGAGGGTACCACAGCCGATGACGACGCCACCCGCAACGACGGAGACGACGAATACCACCGAGAATGACAAAGTGTCACGAGACGCAACGATGCCGGAAGACACCATCAACGTACGAACACAAAAGAGCGGTCAACGACGAAATCGAGAGCCAATTCGAGAAGGAACCCGGCGAATTGTGGAGACAGATACGTTACAGCTTACTGATGATACGATTGAAGAAGCACAGAAACGAAGTCGACTAGTACAGAAGATGTTGAAGGACGGTAAATACAAGGGCATGACGGTCAAAACTGAGTACGGGTTGGTATTAATTACGACGCCGAGTGGGTTACGAATTGTTCTACCTCCCGAGCTCTGGCCCTTGGTGTTTAAAGACAACCACGATTCGATATGGGCTGGTCATTTGCGAGCACCCCACACGTATGCACGAATCGCTCAACTATACTACTGGCCAGACTTACAACGTGAAGTTCGACGATGGGTAGCTGGATGTCAAGAATGCGGAAGTAGGAAGGCGCGACCGAGAGATGTGGTGCCACCATTACGAAGTATGAACGGCGGTGACGTAGGCGACAGGTGGGCGCTAGATGTAGCAGGACCACTACCACAAACTGGAGGAGGCCAACGCTATGTAATTGCGGCGATTGAGTATGTGACTAGATACGCAGTAACGACGACGGTGGAGCATCATACTGCGGAGAACGTCGCAAGATTCATAATGAAGAACATCGTGCTGAAATTTGGAGCCTTTCGAGAACTACTAACTGATGGAGCGCCTGAATTGACGGGATTAGCGATTGAGCAGCTAGTGTCATTACTACAAGCACAACAAATAAACCCGGTACCTTACAGACCACAGATGATTGGGCTCGTGGAACGATTCCACAGGACGTGGAAGGATTGTGTGAGTACGTATATGCAGAGTGAAGATCAGAACGATTGGGATAATTGGGTAGACTTCGCTGTGTACGCATACAACTCCGGCAAGCACTCCACGGTGGCACTTTCACCGAATGAACTGATGATGGGTCGACGGCTACGACCACCAAACGAGCTGTTGCGTAGAACAAGTGTGATGGAGGCGGGTACGTTGACGGAATACCATCGGAAGTTGTTGACAGCGATGAAGAATAGCCATGAATGTGCAGAACGAGCCCGGAGAAAGGAGCAAACACGACAAGCTAAGTATTATAACCGACGAGTCAAGAATACGAGGAACTTTGTAAGAGGAGATCGAGTTTGGATGTTCCGACCTCCAAAAGGACCAAAATCGACGAAGTTAGTACATTTGTGGATCGGACCACTACGAATTGTAGAACCAGTCGGCTACGAAAACTACCTAGTTCGACGAGAAGATCAGAACAACGGACCAGAAGAATTTATAGCGCACGTGAGTTTCTTAACGACGTACCATACACAATCTGATCTACTAGCGAAGGCAGCAGCCGATCTGAACGCGCAACTCGAGTATGAAGCCCAAAGCGACGATGACGAGGCGCCAGGGGAGACTGCACGAACAACGACGGCAGCAGTGCAGGCAGCCACTGGAACAACGGGCAAGAGACGACGAAGCACGGCAATGGCGCGAGAAGAAGGATGGAACGAGTCGAGTGCAAGACTGGTGGAAACCCGACGACGACGACGACGCAACAAGGCCGGACAATACGTGTTGGAGTACGAGTTACGACCTGAAGGGCAACGACCACGGGGAGAACATGACGACGACGGATCCCGATGGGTGTCGGTCGCTGAGTACGAGGAGTACTTTCAGGCCGGTAGAGTCGTGGAAGACTCTACAAATGAAGAAGGCGTGTAACAGGTTAGTGTGGCACGATGTGGATACGACGGTTGCTGGTGAGATCTTCCAGCAAGACCGGTGGATGAACGGCTCCGGTGAAGAGTCGAATGAACCCAACAAACGTGCGATGGACGCGCAGGATCGTGCACAACGGAATCGTGAAGAGTCGCAGGCGGAAAAGGCACGCGATCGTAAGGAGGAGTGAGAAGCACTCACTCTGAAATCGGACGGGCAGAACACAAGTGAGTGAGGCAGACGCACGAGGTGTGTTGTCCTTGCTTGTGGCACCCGATAGAGGAGTAAGCACGTAAGTAAGTGACGAACGAAGAACTGAGAACGAAGAACGAAGGCGGACGGAGTCGACAGAGAAGCGACCCCCGGCAGAACTACACGTTTACGAAGAAAACTGACGGAGGGCCGAAGTAGCGACATTGAGGGTCGTTGCCAAGGTTAAGTACGCGGATCTGGACATTACGGACGCATCCGACGAACTGTAGTGGACGCACTACGGAACAGAGGAACACGACGAACGAAGAACGAAGTACAAAGACGAACTCTTCTTTAGTTGGCGTTAGGCTAGCTAAGAGAAGAGACTAATAAATAAAAA